TAGTAGGTGAGCGATTTGTTCGGGAGAATTGTATCTCTCTAGGAACAGTGTTTCGAGCTCCCTGTATCTGTATACTAGGTATATACTGTTGTCGAACCATCGTCTGGCTTCGCCTTGTAATTGCTCCCTAAATACTTCGATTCGTTCCGAATCGTCGTACGTTTCTGTGTCTGTGAAATACTCGCCTAGTCTTTCTAAGAACCACTCGGGATCTTCGTGATCCTGACCTGCAAATTTGTATGGTAAGCTACGAGATGTGCCTCTCCAACGCCTGCGGTTTTGTTCCCCGTCGGCGAATCGTTTGAGTGCGGTCGTCATGGTCTCGGCCATTCGACAGAGCAACTCTTCTGCGTTGAGTGTGGATGTTGTGGGCCGCGAGGACCCGGAGTTCAAATCTCGCTCGGGGCGAGTCCCATCGTGAGGGTCAAACAAGTTGTTTTGTGTGGATTCGTGATTCGTCTCTTCGAATCGTGAGCTATTGTTTGGGGCTCGGCGTGAACTGTTGTCTTCGTAGAACGCACCGTCGTTGCTCAATTCGAAACTGTGGTAAAACGCCTGTTGTGTGTATTTTTCATGCAGATCCTTAAATTTTCGGATAGCAAATGCTTCTGTTTCTTGACCCCACGAAATGTAATTGTCTGTTTCTTCCCTGGAGTGCTGACACTGTTGTCATCCCTACTGAAAAATTTTCTAATTTGGGAGTAGCATATAAGTTGACGATTTCTTTTCAGTGTGCTTTTTCTGTTGTCTGACCACAATCCCAATTTTTTTTGTTGCTTTTTTGACAAATCGGTATGTGTTAATGTATTTTCCCTTAACAATATTTGCCATTCTCTGCTTAGATTTTTCATCTACGTCTTTATAAGTTTTATGAAATTCAGATAGGAGGGTCTCCTGAAAAAGTAGTTTTCGCTTTACTGATCCCGGGACAGGTGTTTCCTTAATCTCTTCGTTCAATTTTGTCAGTGGTGATGGTGAACACTGCGCTTTTAGAACTTGGTTGGTATTTTTACTTTTTCTGAGCCTACTGACTTTTTTCTTGTATTTACTTATTTTTTTTATTAGCGCTGGAAAGTTCTTTTTCTAATTGTTTTATTCGACGATATATAGCACTGCGGTCTCTTCGTACTTTCTTTCTGCCCCTAGATGTATTATGGTGTTGCGGAGTACCTTCTCGAGGAGAGGAAGGGGGTGTTTCCCTCAATACATTTTCTAGCTGACGTTCCAGGGTTTTAGCATTCTGACGGCTTTTCTTTTTTCTTTCTCTCCACTCCTTTCGCTGCTTTCTTTTTTCTCTATCTGATAACTCTGCAATAGGTTTATCAATTTTCATATCCCTTCTTTGCTGTGCCCGCTCTTTCATTTTCCTTAAATATTCGGCTCTTCTAATTGGATCCGCGTTGATACGTTCTCTGTATCTCTTTCGTTTTTCAGCAGGTGTTAAACCCATATCGATTTCCTGAACAGAAGAATGACTGCTTTACACTAGTTTGCGGTGTCACATAAGTTACCTCTAATAGGTAACATATGTGACGGTAATTTACGTGACATTTTAAGTACATTTTTTTAAAATCCCGCCGTAAGAGGAAATTTGGCAAACTGGTCGAACGTATTCACAAAGAAGCACATGCTTTTAGGTTATTTAACGAATTATGTTTATCAAAAAAATAATAATTTTGCGATTAACTCAGTAACTTACGTGACACGTAATAAACATACTCACCTGCTATACTGTATATTAGCCACGATAAACTTTTAAACAAAACTTATTTAAAAAAACACAATCGGAAGGAAGAGCACCAAAACAATTATTAAAACGATCTAGGAAACTGTTTTGATTCCACTATTGCCAGATTGTTGTAAATTTGTACCCACCTTTCCATTATTAATTTAGAATTTGGAATTACCCATTGATAGAAAATAATTTCACCTTGGGCAGTTTTGACTTTTGACCAGTCCTTTATAATCTATGACACAAAGACGTTTGTCTAAATGTCACTCGGCGTACCACTAGTTTTATTCCATCAAATACTAATCTTTGGTGGGGAATTTTAATATATTGAAACATATACCTAACCCATTATGATACGTGTTTAATTAGATACGTATGTAGAAGTTAGACATTCATTTTTAAATAATAATTTACCATACTTTTCATTCTTGATTCATTATGGAGAGTTTTTAAATATTTTATACCTTGTTGAAAAGTTTTTCTGACATCTAATGGTTGGTTTATAAAATAGTATTAGTCCTAACTTAGCCGTAACTTAACCTTAATCTTAGTCCTAAAAAGTTAAATATACAGAATGTAATGTAATGTTCTATACATTGCATTTTGTACATTAAAATTTTTAGAACTAAGATTAAAGTTAAGTTACGACTAAGTTAGGACTAATACTTTTTTATAAACCAACCATAATACACTACAAAATGATAAAATTTAAGTTGTTGTCGTCTTACTTCGGTTCTTATCGCTGGACCAGACGCCGCGGATTCATTCCCGAGACGCTGTTCCCGGATCGCATGAGGCTCGCCAAGCGTCATCATGACGGTGGAGACGCAATACGATTAAACTATGCCAAAATTTATTAAATACTATGCCCAGTAGCTTTAGCTACAAGAACCAATAAGTACGAACTATTTGATAAATTTAGAGAAATCTCAGGGGCGATTTTACAATCGACTTCGCGTGGGAATGGCTCGAAAGGTTAATGATTTAGGATGAAAGTAATTTTACTAATAAAGCTTAGATAACGACAGATTCCGACAAGTCACAGGCCTTAACCCTCCTTGAGAAAGTCAATTAGTTAAGTTGTGAAAAGTAAATTAATGTAAAAGATCAAATATTGTTACATATACACACATGAATATACATTTCCCGCGTTTGAACGTCAACCACGTTTATATTATGTAATATAAGTAGTATTGACTTTAAAAGCAATAAGACAAAAGTTATGAAAAGAGTTTCTTGGTCCTGTTAAGCATATACTTGTGTATACATGGAAGCATCTGCCTAGATGTCCGATAATTCAAGTCTGATGAGGGCGCCAGGTATTTTTATAAGAAAAATACCAAAAGAAATTAAAATTGCAAAGTTAAAACTTTACACAAGTTCTGATTTTTCCAAGCCTCGGTATACGCTAAGATATTTCACTGAGCAGAAATGAAACATTATGGAGCTATGAAACTTTAAGTTTATAATCTGTTTGAAAGTGGGCCGTAAAATATCTTTGGCGTGCCGTTGTAGGTGAACAAATAAAATTTTAAAATCTTAATTAACCATCACTGGTAAATTAAATTTGTCTTCACTTTCTATTATTTTTCCTTCTACTTTGAGTCACTGGGTAATGTGTGCATGCAATAATAAAACACTGATGAAGGTGGTGCTGGTTCGTCGGTATGTTTATATGAATTCTTTCAAGTAAGCTGTTTATTTATTTTAGCTCATGTCGTTGCCAGCAACCACCTTAAGTTCCGGAAATGGAAAAAGGGAAGTAGGGAAAGGTAATAACAACAATAAATTCAAAACAATTATATCCAGTCTCAAATGTAGTTTCGAGATGCAAAGTCCGGACTAAATTAAGTAGGAAAATTTCACTATGAAATTTTTACCTTTAAAAAAAAATCTTTAAGAAAAAAGTTAAAATTCAAAACTTCCTCAAAACGGGTTATAAAATGCTATGCGACTTACCAGACTCCACGTCCGTAGCTCTCAGTACAGGAAGGGATGTAAACTGGGACTGCAGCGGCGCGCACTGACTCTATGCTTTATTTGAAGCTCAACAAAAGAAAAATCAAATTTAGTCCAGATATTATCCACGAAATTTGGGATTTGAGTTTATCCCGTGCAGGCCGTTCAACCGATGCTAGAAATGACTTTAATTGATTAATTGATGATGACTTCTAGCTGACAACTGTTCTAGACTGAGCTCGATCGACTAACTTGATCGACTGACTTCATGGACGGACTTCATCGACTCCCTCTTCCGTCGTTATTTTTCCGGTATTTATTTACTTTCGGTGGGAGAAGAAGCGCGCAAAGCGCTCTGATTGGTCGGGGGCGTGGCCATATTTATATAGCCCCACATATACCCTCGAGCGCGGTAACGAACTGCCGCATTCTGTACTGAGAGCTTGGATCGTTAGGAGCATGTATTTGATATTTGATTTCATTGAAATTTTCCTAATAATACAACATTGTCGCACTTACAATTTATACAGGGTGTTTCTAAAATATGGTTCCAAACTTCTGCTGCATTTATAACTCATTAAAATATGCCAAAAAGTTCCTATTAACATGTGCCCTAAAACGCACCCTTAGGAAGTTATATTGCCTTAAAAGGACTCAAACAAAACTGTTTTCTTTTCTACTTAAATTTTCCACTCACCACTTTTACTAATTAAACACTGCAAAGCTCAATTGACAGTTTATCAATAACTTAAATTGTTAAGCGTTGTGGCAACGTCAGTCTTTTATTTGCCATTGTAAACAGATTTTTGTAATTTTTGGCCTAATAACTTAAAGAGCAGAGTAATTTTCAAACTCAATTTACTCAATTGACTCAGAAATATCGATTTGGACAAAGATAATATTATTTACGTAAAATTGTTAAGATTTTATAAATCTGTAGAGAAAATTGTAAAAAAATTGAAATAAAAAAAATTACGGGCCGAAAACCCCCTTCACCAACCTAAATGGGACGCATATGATTTGCATGTCGAAAAACGGAGTAGCCCATGTTATTTAACGTAAAAAGTTATGTAAGACCCATACATTTTTTTCTATTTATTTGCGACCATTTTGTCAATAACAGAAAAAAACAGTTTTGTTTGAGTCCTTTTATTTTAATGTGTTATAAACGCAGCAGAAGTTTGGAACCCTAATTTAGAAACACCTTGTATGTATACCAGAGATATAGACGGCCGCATTTTCTGGCACATTTGCATGCGGCGAGCAAATGTTACAGATTTGCTCGTGGCGAGCAGCGTTGAACATTTTTAGGACCGACACCATAAACATCCATACAAATCTTTCGAAATATGCGTCGTCCTGGTTTACCACATACAAATCTACTTATTTATGGGAAAATTTGATAATGAGCATGACGGAATTGTGTGGTTCGTTACCTTTTAAAAATTTTAAGAGATCACGAGCCATGCTAACTGCACTTACAGTTCACAATTTATAGCAAGCGTAATTGAAAAAGTCGCTAAATAGTAATAAGAAAAGAAAATTGGTTATTGCTAGTGCTACTGCTCTAATTTATTATAATATTTTCATAAATAATAATGTAATCAAGAAAACAAAACGACATTTTTGGCAAAAGAAATGGTTATATGAAAAAGAGAAATACAATAGTGATGTAAAACTTTTGAAAGAATTACGCATTAATGGATATGATGATTATAAAAATTATCTACGGATGGACGCTAATACTTTTGATGATCCTTTACACCGCCTGGAACCTTATCTCAAGAGAAAAAATGCAGTAATGCGTGACAGTATCCCTCTACGGTTTTTGGCGACAGGTCGCAATTATGAAGATTTAAAATTTAACACAGGCATATCTCCTCAAGCTTTGGGGTATATCATTCCAGAAACCTGCAGGGTGATATATGAGGTTTTGAAAGGAGAGTTCTTAAAGGTAAATAAGAATAAAAACGTTTATTTATTATTTATTTATAGAATACTTTTGTAATTTAAATATATGTATTACATATCACATTAAAAAAAACTCTTAAATTCTTAAATAAATGTAAAGCAGTTGTACAACAGAAATTCATCTAAATATTTGCAAAATTTGAATAATACTGTGAGGTCGAAGTAGAGTCGGAGATAGTAGATGGCACATTTATTAGCACAGGTGATGACATATTATCAGTACTATTAAGAGTTGAAGGATGGACCACGTTTGCCTGATGATGAGACGAACAGGTGTTTAGAGACGTTGGTGCTGTCAGATCAATAAGAACTGTGGTCTCTGATAACTTGTTCATTACGGCTCTTTGCAATATTTGTGTTATCAGTGTTTCAGCAAACATTTTTTGAGATGTGTCTGTAATAGTTTTTAGTTTTGTACCGACATATGTGCCAAAAGCAGCGCTATCATCCAAAACTACACTGTTGCTAGTATTTGCCAAGGCGTTGGTGCAAACTTTCAAAAAGTTTCTATGCTCAGATAGATCTTCTTTTTTTTTGTTTTTTTCTTGCATGCCTCTCTTTAGTAATAAAGGCAGTATTGATTGAGGTACTGCTACTTTGCGGTGTAGAAGGACTTCCAATCTACAAAATATTAATTTTTATTTTTTACAGTTTCCATCTACAACAGAAGAATGGAAACAAATAGCCAACGGATTTGAACAAAAATGGCAAATATCTAACTGTGTCGGAGCAATGGATGGGAAACATATCCGCATTTGGGCGCCACCAAGAACTGGGGCCCAATACTACAACTACAAGCATTCCTACAGCATCGTATTAATGGCTGTTGTTAATTCCAATTATGAATTTATATTTGTAGATGCAGGCAAAAATGGAAGAATTTCCGATGGGGGAGTTTTGCAGTATACAACCTTTTATCAATATCTGGTAGAAGAAAAATTGCATTTGCCTGACAGATATGACTGTAGAGAAAATATGAATTTCGTATTTATTAGCGACGAAGCGTTTGCCCTCCACAAACATATTTTGAAACCTTTTCCTCAAAGGAATCTTAACTATGAAAAGCGCATCTACAACTATCGACTATCAAAAGGCCGTAACGTCGTTGAAAATGTTTTTGGTTTGATAACGGCGCGATTTCGTGTGCTTCATACTACTATAAATATGAAGCCATTGCATATACAATATGTAGTATTAGCGATTTGCACATTACACAACTATTTAATACAGCGAAAAAACCAATACATAGGACCTATCACATTTGATTCGGAAAACAAACAAACACACCAATGCATGAAAAATGCAGAATGGAGGCAAAATGATGTTCAGTTATGTCCTTTGCAGATTTCGAATAGAAATGGTCAGGTACTTGATGCAAAAGAAAATAGACTAGAGTATATGAAATATTTCACTGGAAATGGAAAAGTGACTTGGCAAGATGAAATGTTAAATGCGGGAAAGTCCTAATTTTTTTCTCTGTTTATTTACAAGTCTATGTCTCTTTTTTTTAATAAAATCAAAATAACTGCCTACTAAGTTATGCTTTATTTACCTCAATATCCAAAACTTCATCCCGCCTCTCATGCGTGTTTTCCAATTCTTGGCTTCGTATGTTTTGGGATTCTGTACCATTTGCTCCCGTATTACTGTCTTCTCTATTTTCATTATCATCAAAATCATTCACATTAACGCCTTCCTCTGAAATTGTAGAGGGACTGCGCATATTAGAGATGGTGTGGGTGGCTTGTTCTTGGTCTTTTATAAACATTAGTAAATTGAAGTAAGGTGAAGTGGGGTAAGTGTTTAGCAAAAAACCTTTAATTCAACTTAAAGTTTTGTCAAAATTAAAACTCTTATAGAAGGCGACCTGTTTACAATACTGTGTATTCTATAGACTTCAATTAATATTCAGTAATAATGACGACCTTGAAAGGTGACCATGTTTCTTTCTGTGACATTTTTTTTAAAACAAGGTCTGTACTACACACTTTCCCTAGATTTTGGGGCAAGTGTGTATTCGGTCTGTAGTTTCTATCTTTTTAGAATAATATGAATAAGGGGCTAGTGTGTGGGCGCCACACACTACCCTTTTGGTAAATTTTATTTCCAATTCTTTCTCGTCATTATTGACAGATATGACCTGGCCAACATGATATTCATTTCTTTGTTTTCTTCGTCGAAAGGCCAACCAACACCCAATCTTCTTTGACTAACTCTTTTGCAGGCTTATTGATTTTTGTCATACATTTATCCAATGCTTCCACGTCCCTCCTTTCTTCTTCTATATCATCATCACTGTCCATAAATGTAATGTTCTCCTCCTCCTCTCCTTCGTCTTCATTAAAATCTAGATTCAGATTTTCGCTAGGGGTCTTGTCAGTTTTTTGTTTCTTTTTTGACACAACATTGCATTTTTCAGACATACGACGGAAAACTTCTTCGGTTGTGATAACTTCTGCTCCTGAAGCTACTTTTCTCTTCCTTATCTTGTCGGGTGCATCACTCTGCTTCACTGTAGATAATAGTGTATGTACTTTTTCTATTAGATATTCTTTTATAAGTCTAAAAACAAAACAAAAGAAGTTTTTTAAATACACGGGCAAGTGTGTAGTACTACACACAGTTAGCCTAAGTAATTACTACACACTTGCCTTAATGAGTATTTTTGATGGGGCAAGTGTTTAGCAAATCAAATTTTGTGGTTATATTTAGGCAGTAAGAAAAATATCCATTAAATCAAATAAATACATATCTCCTTAACCTAACACCCATCTGGAATTAACAAAATAACAGTTTCCTTATGTAATTAATGCAGATTAACAGGTGGGTATCAAAATACATTTATTGCGCATCACGTCATACGTATCTTTGATATAATTCTAGTTCGCACTAAAATGTCTTATTTACAGTTTTAGCCAAGTAGAAATAACTTGTTTAACAATAATTACATAGATATCGCGAGTATTCTACATAAAGTTGAAGTGTTATGATACGACTACACATTTACTCCAAATACACACTTACCCCACTTCACCTTACCATAAATTAGGGGAATAAATTTCCTCACTTCCACTACCACTTCTTAATGACTTTTCTTGCTTATTAAATTCCATTCATTTTATATTTTTTACATACTTCAGTCAAAGCGGCGTATCCCGCCTTTTTAAATTTTTATTTACATACTCTGCACTTTTTATTTTCCACAAAGCAGTATGTTGCCTAGAAACTTCTATAAAGTCAGTTAAAAATTATTTGTTACTCATTTTTTAAATTATTTATGCCGCACTAGCTATAACAGTTACTTACTATTAAATTTTGCACGCCACAAAAGTGTGTTTGTTTATGATGGAAAAATGTGACACACCGGCTGCGACTTGTTTGCCGCGTATACGTGGCTCGAGATGTGGCGCGCTTAAATCGCCATAAGCGCGTGAGTTTACCGCCACATTTGCTCGCCGCGTGCAAATGTGCCAGAAAATGCGACCGTCTATGCCTAGCTATTGAGCTTCGACGAGTGCGCATCCAATTTTCTAAGGACGCTACGGGCACAGCCATTTTGAAGGCTTTTACGTCACGCAGTTGTTGTTGCCGTTAGGTTCGCAGGTGTTTTTTGAGGTAATTCATATTTTTGTATATCAATTTCGTTTTTATTAAACTTTAAATATGTCTTGTGCTTTGTGCTGTGAAAGGAAGCGCAAATTGCAGAAGATTTCCAATACAAAACATCAGTTTTCATGTGTAAGTACAGAACATTTCTAAATACTTAGGTAGTTGTACACAAAAATAAGATATTTCAACTTTTTATTCTAAATTTTTATTGTAAACACGTAATTTGTTTATTTCTAGCTTTCCTAAGAATTAAACTTTACAGAAGGAGTGGCTAAAGGTTCTTTCTATCGAAAAAGAAAATCGGGTATGGACAAAAAATAACGTAATTTGTTCTGAACACTTTAAAGCAGATGATTTTGTCCCCTTTTGTGGAAGAAGAACGATACGACCCAACTCTGTACCTTCCATAAAATTATTTTGTTGTGTCTCTTCTTCCATTTTGAGCGAGAGTACTTTATCAAGTTCAATTAATACAGGAGCTTTGACCAGCAAATCGATGTTAAAATCAAGTGGATCATCTTTGACCTATAATGTTACTGAAGTTCGAGAAGGTTCAACGTAAAAATAAGAGACAACTGGATTTAAGGTAATAAAGATTTGTAATTTAAAAATAGTAGTAATGCTAAGGATGTTAAATACGTACCCTGCCCCTAGATAAATAATACTATAGATAGGAAACTTGAACAGATTTCGTGGTCATTAACAGCGCTAATTGTTGACACTTTCTCCAACTTCTGTTGCTTTCCTTTTCTAGGAATTATCGGTAATATAGTGAGTTAAATTACCTGTAGCCGGTAAAAGATGCAAGCGCCATCTAGTTGTACGCTCTACAACTATATACCTACCTACTCAATATTTGTTTTAGGTATTCTGCCGCCGCTAAATTTAAAATTACATAACAAATCTCACCCTACACAGATCACTCAGAAATTGATTTTGTAAAATAATTTTCACGTAGATAATTTTTTTTGTCACCATGAGAAAATAAGTACATTTGATAAAAAGCATTAAAATCACTCAAGCATTAAAGACACTTTTAAATGCTCTAATAGTCTTCCTACTTAAAATAAGAAATAATTTTGATACTGTAACTTTTTAAAATGTTTGTTGAAAAAATTTCAAATTTCAGTACATATTTTGAAAAAAAAAGAGTGAAAATGATTATAGAGTTTCAGTGCTTTCTATATTGTATTAGCTTTCACGGTGAATAAAAAAATATTACAAGTAAATAATTTTACTAAACCAATCTTTGATTAATTCTTGTAATAGAGATTTATTATGCAACTTTAAATTTTTCGTTGTGTTGATATCCATAAAAAAAACTACCTACCTCTGATCACATTTTTTATTAAAAAAAAAAACAAAAAAACAAAACATTTTATTATTAATAAAAAAATGTGATTATATGATGATCAGACATTATTATGTTATATAAATAAATGTGAATGAAATATCTAATAAAACACACTAAAAACACAAATAAAACACACACCAACAGTCGCCAAACCTAACCAACAATAAACATGAACAACATGAATGACATGAAATGATTCATAATTGCAATTGTCAAAATTTATTCTACAAAATCTTTGTGGCGACATCTATAGACTCTTTCCCCAACTTGTATATCCATCACAAGTCACGTGGTTCCCAGTTTCCCCATATTTTCAAGTATAAGTTCTCGGGCCCTGACCCTGCCAAATTGTTTGATACGGACCTAATAAATTAAGAAATATATTCACATTAATTTTATTTTCAGTGTTCAGAATACACCGAATGGTAACACTAGTACTGATGGTAGTGCTAAGACAAGCAGAATTATGGCAATGAAAACATACATTCGTATAGGTAAGATTATTGACAAAAAAATTGGCTTCAGTTGTTTAACGGATAACTTTAATAATGAAAATATCTTTGCAGTACATCTCCTGCTACAGTTGCAACGAAAAATGTTATATTGAAACGTAAACAGGAAACTTACCGAAGAAAGTTTTACAGTGCTAAAAAAACAATTCAGTCTTTGAAAAAATAAATTAAAGACGGATTATTACGGATTATTCAAGGCCCTGAATTAAGACAAAAATTAAATAAATTAATTATTTTCATCCATCAGTAAATAAATATGTTAGTTATACAATGTTTTATTTTAATATACAAAATATTTAGAAACTACATCGCAAATGTTTTCTTTATTTCACATAAATTGAGTACCTACCACAATCTGTTAAAGTTTATCGTCTCAAAAATATATTACAATAGGGTTGTTGACCAAATTTCAAAAAGTAGATAATATAATTCTACACGTACTAATTAGTGTGTCTCTGTATGCACAATTAGAGATTGACAAATGCGTTGGAACAGTTTTAAAATAATTATTTAAAACTGATTCTTTTATAATATTTCAAAACCGCTGTGACGTCATAAGGGGCAACTTGTAGTGCGCCATTATTCTATGGCTAGAAATTGGCCTCAATGATTTGGGATCGAGGGGGATTATCCCTCTTTATCCTGCCTCATCTCGTGTAGGCCTGGACAGCCTTCGTAGGTGGGCCCCATCCGTCGTCTACCCCGACCGCAAATGCGGCCGGTGTAGGCGCTTTGTGGGACCTCCTTTTGTCCTGGCTGGGCCCCGCCGGCTAGGGCCCTTTCTTCTGGCGCTCTTCTTGCTTCGCCGGCTCGTCTGTGTAAACCCCGGGGGTAGTGTCATGTTTATG